ACTGAAAGTCCAAAGATGCTGGAGATGTCTAAGTGGAATAACAGAGTGGCCTCTGAGAATCACTGGGACTGTGGACTCACTGCTCCAGCCCGAGTTTTCATGACCCCAGATGACGCAGCGATCCGCGGGTGCTGAGCCATGGCGCACTGGGAAAACAACGCTGTGGGTGCACTGGTGCTGAGGACTTTTGCCAGGCTGCAGACGGTTGGGGAGAGGCTGGCTGGGCAGGTACATATTTTCACAGCCTAGAGGTTGGCTGGAAACTTCATGTTACGATATTCTGGTTTAGCCTTATCCAGAAATATAGTAAGAAAAGAACATGTGGTATTAAAATAAGAAGACTTTAAATACTTTAGGGAACACATTTTCTCTTTGTGTTTTGGATATATTCACCTTAGGATTAGCTTATTTTATAATTATTCCTAGACAGAGATAGGGAGTAATAATTAACCCAGGAGTTCTGTAGAAAGTGCTGATCCCCCACAGGCATGGACCCATGGTGATAACCAGCATGTAGCCCCCAAACGTGAAACTGAACATGATGTTTCTCCCAGTACTGGAGATTCTTTGTGTAAGTAAAAGAAAAAAAGAGTCATGACATCGACCCCCTTAAAATCAAGCCTCATGTAGGACCAAAAAAAAAGGCTACTTATACTTACTTTTAAATTTAGTGAACTTTAAAAAAAAAGTCACCACTGTAGTCTGTTTGCCCTAAACCCATGCACAAGTCAGTTCTAAGAGGAACCGTGTTCAGGAAGAAACCCAGAGAGAAACAGTCGCACACGCCATCCGCCAGGGACAAACGAGTCAGTCGGCAAGCTGTTGGAAAACAGAGCGCTTGTAATAATGAAAAAGGACAGAGTTTTATAACCAAGCACTTATTTTCTTTTAAAAACACATAACCACATTAACTTTTTGCTTTATACAACCATCTAGAAACTATAAAACAGTACCACATTGTGCACTTAACCTACTTATCAAGAAGGGAACTCCACGTCGTAAGAATTCTACCCAGAGGAGAAAGGAGACAGCTAACAGCATAGTCACAGATACAACATGAGTCCAAGCAAGCATCAGTTCGCTGACGTCACCTTTTCCATTCACCAGAGTGGAGAGGAAGAAAGAAAGCAAAGGAGAAAAAAGAAGGAAAGAAAGGAGCACCCACAGAGGACTAAGTCACAATCCATAGTTACTTCTGACAACGAGCTCGGGATTCAGATAGTACCACTTGACCAACACAGCGTGGGGGGGCGGGGAAGGACGCACGAGCAGAGAACGAGCATTTGAAAAGGAAAATACGTTTTTCACCCTCCTAAATACGCTTCACTGATACAAGCTTCTGTGCTAATCCGGTAAATGGAAAGAAATTAATCTTCACAATGTGATAACGCTTAAGAGTTGTTCTCTTTGCAACTACAATGTGAGTGGCTCACACTTCCACTTTACAGTTCAACAGAACCACAGTGTCATGAACAATAGCTCTATAGGGATTTCCCACTACTGTTCTTCCCATCCCGCCCGGCTGTGTTGCTAAGGACAGGCAGGGAAGCGCAGGGAGGGCCTTCAGCCATAAAGATTGGGGGTATAGCGAGATAGAATCCTTGCTCCTTCTTAGAAGTCCAGGCCTTTCTAGTACTGTGGCGTTCCCTGATTCGTGGCTGTACAGAGGAGAGCGCCTCGGAAGAACTAAGGTAATATGGTGGAAGTGTACTCAAGTAACTGGCTTGAAGCTATATAGGACGAAACTGTAATTGGCAGACATACTGGATCCAAGGCAAACAACGGGTTGATTGTCCTCCTTAGGTTAGATGGCACCATACAAAAAAGGTGGCTATGACTAAATAATAAACGGAAGGTTTGCTATAAGGAAACCTAGTTCAGTTGAGAATTAGTCTAATGATCCTCACTTCAGGGGAAACTCATCTTGTCCCTCCCATTTGCTCTTAAGTAAGCAAACACATTTGAAAAGGTAAATACATGTATAGGGCAACTCAGTATCAGAGTTTTGACAATCCATGAGAGAGGCATTACGAGTCACATCACTCCCCATTCTCGGGTAAACTATCATTTAACTTACGTTCTTCCAAACCTAATGAGATGCATTTCGTATTTCCTACCTGACATGTGGAACGTGGTTAATGCGGATGAAATTGTGGGTCTGTAACTCGGACTAGTTTCGATACAGTCAAGTCTGCCCCACTTTACTGGGTGCTCTCGCGGTGCAGACTTAGTACAATGCAGAGTTGGGAGCTGTTATGACTTACTGTCAGGACTATATCTGAAATGCTGAAGTGTGTGTGTATTAAGTACTCTGGGAAATCTTTAACTCATTTTAGCTAATGAAGGAAAAATTAAACCAATCATAATAAGAAAATAAACCAAGCTCCTAACTTTGATTTACCTAACTCCCAAAACTTCTACTAGAACTGTTGTCTAGACCAGGTCACTAAACATCTTATCTGTAATGACACTGATTTCTTAGTAGACTTGAGTAAAGTATGCTGACTTGGCAGTTTAGAGCCAGAGATTCAACATGATTATTACTTCTTTAATCTGAGAGGTTATCTTAATTTAAAACTTTTGAATGTTATGTGAGTATAGTAAGAAGTACTAATTTTTTTTTAAGTTAGGCAAATTTCATGCAAACTACTGAAAGAAAACAATACTAACCTACAATCTGTTTACCAAATTAAGTGCAGTCACTTTAGAGAATCCCAAGTTTTTAAATATAATATAATATTGTAGATAAGTTTATTTTTCTTAATTCTCTTCCTTAGAATATGAAATTTATCTAGTCACTACTTACAAAATTGCATTTGGAAATAAATAATATTTCCTGGGATCAGAAGATGGGTTAATGGTTACATTGCTGGACTCCCATGTAATTGGCTGCAGTTCGAGTTTTGGACCCAGTGGCTTCAAACTCATGCCAGGTGTGTGCCAAAAATCCTGGGAGGAAAATGGAGAAGGCATTGTGGTATGGCACCCCACCCCGGGGGAAGTGATTTCTTGCTTTCTGCCTCTCTGTCTCTGTCTCCCTGGTGAGCACAAGCACCTTATAGCAAAAATTCTAAAAAAAAAAAAAAAAAAAAAAAAAAAAAGGATTTCCAAATAATGGGGGGAGGGTGTAATAGAAGAATAACGGTAGGTCTTTTGCAGCAACCTCCTAGCCACTGAGCGGAGAGAGGAGAGGCATCACCTCCCAGGCACTGAGCTTGCATGTTTTCCTAACCGCCTGGTCCTGGGGCTGAGGTCCACTTCTTGCTCTTCACTGCTAGCTCCAGGGTGATTCCATTTCTTTGCAACTAAATGTTAATCTGTTCCTCTGACCTCTGTATGCCTTGGTACTAGGCTACTTTATTCGGTTCTTACTTTGCCTCAGTTCCTCTGTACAAAAATGGGTGCACGCCGCCCTCCAGTTGTTGTGAATGTAGTCTGGTCACACTGTGGTGGAAAGACACCATGTATTAAGTCACTTCTGGAAAGCTGGGTTAATGTTGAAAACACTCACGTGTAGAATGCTGGCATGTTGTGAGTAGGGCAGGGCCCCATTTTCCTCCTTGAGGGGTTTGTCTAGGTTCCTGCCGAGGTGACTGGCACTCTCCTCTCATGCCTTAGCTTCTGAATCTGGGGTTAGCAGCTTGCCTATGGAGTCTACGGCAAGTGTAGGTTTTTTTTTGCCGCATGTGGGTTTCGACTTCTTTCCTAGTGTCTAGGCCACTGTAACCAAATTAATGGGCCTGTCACTGGCTCTTGCTCTCATTTCATTAGCTCATGGAATGACCTTACCACATACTCTACTATAACGTTATGGGGAGAGTTAAATATAGGCGTGCAAAAAAAAGTGCACCAAAAATAAACCCTTTTGTCTTTTAATTTTTCTACTTACATCAAAGCTTTCCATACTGTCACAAAAGTGAAAAGTGAATTTTATTCTTTTATTTATTTTCTCATTCCTTTGGGGAGTACTTTAACTGACATTAAAAACTGAATGACTCTCAAAAATAAAACTGGAATTTTTACACCTAAATTCAGATGGATTTTTTTTTAACCTTTGGTTATATTGCTGCTCCTTTAAAATGACTCTCTGAGATCCATTTCTAAGAGCTCTAGTGAGAGCCTGAGTGCACAGGAGCCTCCAGTAAAAGTGTAGGTAGGACGCAGTATTCACAAATGCAAGGGTATATAAAATTTAGGGGAGAAAAATATATACTGCTTTTTACGAAGGAAACAATTTAAATGTATACTTTGTCTTCCAAACTCTCTTAATGGAGGAAAAGCTTTTTTTTTTTTTTTCTTAAGAGGAACATTAAGCTGTATTTAAATACATATTTCAGCATCTGTTATGGTAAGCTGAAAGTTACAGAAACCTTAGTTTTTCACAGACTATGCCAATAGGACAAACATATTAGAAAGAGAGTGTGTTCTGTATCAGTCTATTATCTATGAAAAAAAAAAAATACTGAGTAGCGCCTAGAATCATAATAGTTGAAGACCAAACTGGCCATGGGAGACACTGGGGAGTTTGCACAGCAGAAGTTAACTTAATGTTTTTGTGTGTCATCATGTACTAACAGAGAATGAAGCTGACAATTCAAATGGCTATGATAAACATTAGTACCAGCAGTTTTATTCACACAAGAAACGACTGGTCCACTGGACTTCTCTGTATAATTCAGTAATAATTACTGCTATTTCTTGACAGACCAGTGGTATTTCCTCCATAGTTTAAAGTACAAAAAAAATGAGGTTATGAAAAAAAAATCTCAAGTATAAATAATGCAACCTTTAATCTACTAAGGGTCACTAAATTGTTACCACTGATTATTTTAAATGATCTGGTTTATTTAAACTAAAAAAAAAGTTTCTTTTTCAGTTTTGGGCCAAGGAACATGCCTAGCAAAACAGAAAGAAAAAAAGGAACAGAAGCCACACAATGGTATAACTTTTTAGAAGGAAAAAATAAAGTTTCTCGATTCAGAAAGGGAGTATGTTTCAGAAGCTTGTCATATAGAGATGGAAGAAACTCCTTTGAAAAGAAATGCTGTTAGTTCATTGACAGAAGTTTGGTAGTTAACAGTAACTTTAATGTAACCTGCTGGGATTCGGACAGTGATGCATAAAGACTTACACGTAGTACATGGAGGAAGAGCTGATGACAAAAGGGGTATGTGGCAAGGGGCAGTCACCATGTTTTTAAGACTAGCTGGTCTTCCACTTGTTCCTTTGTCTAAAATGAGGCTGAAAATGACAGGCATAAACTTCCTTTTCACCTGGGTCTCAGAGGCAGGGTGGCATCACAGTGCACATTACTGCCTCCTGGTATTCGTACAACTTGTGTTGGACAAGGAAATACTAAATTTAATGCCAACCGTATTCAAGAAGGTAAAATCCTTTATGGTTTCGGATTTATTTGGATGACTTAGGAACAAAGGGAAGAAATGAGACAAAGAAGTGAAAAGGGGTATTGTGTGTAGACCATAACAGTCTGAAAAGTCTAAGAAATGTACTTTACAATCAAGTTTAGATCCCCCAAAGTTTAAAAGCAAGTTTTCTATCATGGGAGGGCATGAAATCGAATGTTCATTCTTTAAAACTGCTGAGGGACATGGCTGCCAGGATCTTCTGAGTCAATGTACTGTGGAAAAGGATAATTTGTTCCATGCGCTCAAAAATACAGTTTCCCCACGACAGGCTTTTTAATTTGATCAAACTCTGCCAAAAGTGGGTGAGCTCAGAAGAAAAACTATCTATACTAAGGGTGTAGAAATAGCTCTGTATTCTAATTCAGAGTTACTACATGTTACATACAATACCCTACACGCTGAAGCATAATAAGGCTTCAGATTTAGCTGGAATTCGGGCAAATGTGTTCCACATCTGTTCCTTAAAAAAAAGGCATCAGAACTTCTCACAGGGATTTTAGCCGGTGGTGTGGAAGTGTGTGGGATGCCCTGTTACGAGAGATGTATGCTTAGGACTCTAAAGCAGCAGCAACTTAAAAAGTTAGTTAGTAAGGAAACTTTGGCTTAAAATTAAACAGAAAGAAAAAGTCAAAGCGGTGCAAGTAGTCTCCCGAAAGAGGTATGTGGGCCTAACCCTCATCAATGCCATCCAACAGTAGTTTCCCCTGTCTTCTTTCACTGCGATCGCCTTCATTGCACAGGAGTATAGCATTCTCTTATGGTTAAGTTTCATAAATAATGAGAAAACTATATGTAACAAATACATCATTTTCCCCACCCACCCAGCAACCCTTCCCGAAATAAGAAAAGTTACATCAAATTAAAAAGTAGCTTCATGAATGAAGGTACTGCTCTAAGTTGCACTTTTCCTGCAAGTGCGGCCAGTGCCTTTGCGCTGGGTATGAAGGAAAGGAAAAAATCTCCACATAAACTGACAAAAAATTTAAAAACCAATGTCCGGTTTCAACCAGTCAAAACCGGGTCTAGTGGAGGCCGAGATTTCTCGGTACCGTCCCATCAGAGGGTCCTTGCAATGCCTGTTCTTCATCTTGATAGGTATCTGTGTGTCCTTGTGATTGTAAACAATCAATAAGATACTATGTTTTTGTTCCTTAAAATGTCCTCTGATTGGCAAAATGAAGTAAATATTTGTTTTAAAAATAGAAAAATTAAAATTAAACCAGAAGAAAAGAAAAGAAACACAGTGAGCTTGTTTGGAGTCCATAGGATCCGATCTGGAAGAGCTCGGAAAATGTGTTATGCGTTTTCTCCTGTTTTCAGCTGGAAAGGTACTAGAGGTTGCGTTGGTCGAGGAAAGAATTGTAGAGTAGGAAAAACCAAGGATGTGAATCTAGACTTCAGAGAATTCAAGTGTTAGCTTCATCATCTGTGTCTTCTATTAATACCTTAGTGTCACGAGCCTTGGATCTAGTAGTCACAAGGGAGAAAAAAACAGTCCATTACTGAAATGCAAGCACATTCACAGTATCAGGTACATTTCCAGTCTTACCACCACTAAACATACACTCTAAACAGGACTATCTACTGACCAGATGGATTACTCCTAGAGTCTCATACAAACTCTCAGATAATCTTGGCAACACTAAGAAACCAGATTTCACCCAGAGGAAGGCACTAAGGACAGCACATCATGTGGAAAAGACGGTGGTAACCTGGAATAAGATCTAGGTTTGAGTACCGACACTGACTTCATGATGACACACCTCTTTAACCATTTTGAAAGCCCATTGTGTCTCCATATAGGAGGAATAATAATATCTATCTCACTTAATACCACTTTCATCTCACTGGACACAGTGTGCCTATCAAGTGAGAAAATGGATGTAAAAAGCATCAATAAAGTATTAAGTATAAAGGAATTATGATAAGGATGATAGAAATAACACAATTTGAAATATGCATGAAAATCTAGAAGAGTGCCCAGTGGAAGATGAGACCTAAGGAGAGGTGTGACAATAGTTTGTCTTCAAAGGGTTGATAAAGCAGGATGCAGAGGGAGCAGATCCATCCACTGTAAGTCATATGACAGCCCAAACAGGATCAACTGGTTGGAGTTATCATGAAATTACAGAGAAACATTATTTCAGTCCAATATAAGCTATTTACCCCTACCCCTATCCAAAATAAAATCAGGTGCATTCACTGTCACTGTAGATTGTCAATCAGCACAAAATGATCATCTATTCAGGATGCTGAAGAAGAGATTCCTGCACTTGAATGGGATTAGGGAATATTAAAATATTCTACAATTCATAAGCCCTATGAGGTAAAAGTGGTATTTGGTGAAACAGGAATTGTTTTTCCTATTTCACAGAGGTGGAAACTGACATTCAAAAAGGTTAAGGATTTGTGAAATGTTGCATGAGTTCTGAAGGCAATACTCAAACTGGGATCTAACTGGAGGTTCCCTGCTGTCTGTTACATATTTCCTGCTCCATTCTGAACATCTTTCTCTAGTTACAATCTAGCATCCCAGTGTTTTCCCACTACATAACTGAAATTGAACATAATAATCTATGGCAAAGAGCTTCTTTGTTTCTGAAGTAGGAAGTGCATGTTTAGATTGCCCTCTGCTGGTACCCAACAAGGATTAGACTTTCAAAATCAGGAGCTCAGTAAGATTTTTCTTCCAGCTTTGTAGTGTTTATCTCCTCCGGGACCCATCGGCGCTCCCTCCTCTGCCATCTTCCAGCTTTGCTTCCTTGGCACTATGGTATCATGCTTCGTGTGAGGCTCTTCTGCTGACCTCCCTGACCATTCCTCCCCTTTTGTTTATTCTTTTCCCTCTTGCCTGTTTTTTTTCCCCCCTAAGACTCAGTTCTCTGCTCTCTGCTTTTCTTTTTCTTTCTTTCCCTTTCCAGAGAACTTCCAAATCTCCATCCAAAACACCTCCTTAGCCTTTAGAAAATTACCATGCTCAACTTAAGTCTTCTTTACAATCTACTATGTTGTATACTGTCTCTAATTTTCAAATGCAGCCACCTTATATTCTACATTTATTATTATTTTTAGCATACAAAGTCAATGGTAGATAAAAATACTGTTATAGGAGGACCAGCAGGTGGCATGGTTGTTAAGGTGCTGGATACTGCCACATGGCTGACCAAGGTTCTAGTCCCAGATCTGGTGGCTTGCTTTCTCACTTTCCCTCTTCTCTCTTGCTCTCTCTCTGTTTCTCTCTGGCCAAATTAAAATAAATGAATGAATAAATAAAATGGAATAAATAATTCTTTAAAAAACATACTGTTACAGGTACTTCATAAGAAGACAAAATAATAACAGCTTTTACTTATGGAGCTCTTTTTGTGAGGTATATTCATGTAACAATGACTTTAATCCACTAAGCACTCTATGAGCAGGTGCTGGATACTGCCACATGGCTGACCAAGGTTCTAGTCCCAGATCTGGTGGCTTGCTTTCTCACTTTCCCTCTTCTCTCTTGCTCTCTCTCTGTTTCTCTCTGGCCAAATTAAAATAAATGAATGAATAAATAAAATGGAATAAATAATTCTTTAAAAAACATACTGTTACAGGTACTTCATAAGAAGACAAAATAATAACAGCTTTTACTTATGGAGCTCTTTTTGTGAGGTATATTCATGTAACAATGACTTTAATCCACTAAGCACTCTATGAGCAGGTATCGTATTTTCCCCAACTTATAGATGAGAGATAATACAGAGAAATTAAGTATTCTGGCCAACCTTACACAGACGACAGGTTTCTTACAGTTTATAACTTGGAAATTATCTATACACAAAATATACTGAACAGTCAAATAAATCTCCAACCTAATTTTCCCTGGACAGTGTACCTTCCCCCCAGATTGGTAGGTACTGCCTTACTGACATTAACTCTACGTGCTCCTAAGACATTCTATAGTGTATGAAATTAGCTTATTACGTTTTATGAGCGAAAGAAAAATGGTTAGATATTGACTTTGACTTCATTGGTTCTATCTGATAGCTGCTTAGCTTAGATGTCACCCACAGCTAATAGCCGAAACAGGTCTCCCAGAGGCGGAAGCCATACGTACTGAGAAGCGAGGCGAGGCCGGCGCAGGGATATGCTCTGGCTGTACTTCCATGACCGATTCTTCTGGCGGTTCCGGACACCATCGTCCTGGTCCATCATCTGCTCTAGGAGGGTCTGATCATCTGCATTCAGGGGGGCCACAGAGATGTCCCGCACAGCCCGGAATTCACCACAGTTATTCAGATGTTCGTTTTCCAAGCGGAAGAAATTCCACACAAATCGCCTTAGTAAAATGGGGTAGATATATTACTTATAAAACTGGAATATTCTAATACCTGTAAACCTCCCAGAATATCAAGTTTATATTTATAGAAATAAAAATACAGACTTAAGAGGCTAGAACATAAAAATAAAATATAGAAAGATGGCATGGAAGTGAGACAGAAGGGGAATGAGTGAACTCCATAATAGGAAGGGACTTGTGGAATGCAGTTTTAGAGACCTCATTCTTTCACTGCGTTCAACAAATATTTATTCTTTTTTTTTTTTTTTGAAGAGGTTTTTGCTATAGGGTGTGTGCGCTCGCCAGACAGAGAGAGACAGAGAGATAGAAAGCGAGAAATCATCCCCTAGGGGGATGGTCACACCGCAATCCCTTCTCCTCCATTCTCTTCTTGGGATCTTGGGCACGTGCGCACATGCACCCGGAGTGAGTTTAAGCCACCAGGTCCGGGATCCTCATTCTTTCACTGCGTTCAAAAAATTTTTTTTTTTTTTTTTTTTTTTGAAGAGGTTTTTGCTATAGGGTGTGTGCGCTCGCCAGACAGAGAGAGACAGAGAGATAGAAAGCGAGAAATCATCCCCTAGGGGGATGGTCACACCGCAATCCCTTCTCCTCCATTCTCTTCTTGGGATCTTGGGCACGTGCGCACATGCACCCGGAGTGAGTTTAAGCCACCAGGTCCGGGATGCGAACTGCGGTCGACTACATGGGAGTCCAGCGACATAGCCATTACGCTAACTGCTGGTCCCAACAAATATTTATTGAATGCCTACTGTAAGGTAGGAAAAAGCACTGAATAAGATTTTAGACAGTCTCTGTCCTTTTGAGGTGTAGTCTCTCGTGGCGAAGACAGATTATAAAAAACCAACCAGCTAATGATAAGTACTCTGAAGAAATTAATGTGGGGCAAGGGCATAAGCACACTGTCATACGACTGGTGAGGGCAAGAGTCTCTGAAGAGACGGCATCTGGGAGAACCTGGGTTATGCAAGGAAGCAAGTCATGTAAAGATCCTGGAGGGAAGTGTCCTAGGTGGTACAAACTGTCCCAAGCTGGAGAGGTCTTTGGTGAACTAAAACAAAGCAAGGTCAGTGGGGCTAGAATAAAAGGGGTGAGGTTAAAACAGCCAGAGATAAAGATGGGGAGTAGAAAGGCTCTCCACTGAGTAGAGTTTAGATTTTCGTTTTAAATGTTGCTAGAGGCTGCATGGCTACATGTGTTCACTGGAGAGAGAAAGTGAAAAAGCACCCCCCATGGGGTACGGTCACACTGTAATCCCCTCATTACTCCCTCCTTTTGGGGTTTTGGGTTTGCATGCACACATGCCTGGTCTGTTTTCCAGGACATGGGTCCTGGACTACATGGCTGGCCATGGGGACCCTACAGCCTTAAATACCAGGTCATGGGCTGACTCATTCTGAAAGAATTTTTTTTTTGGGGGGAGAGATTTTCACTGTAGGGCGTGTGCGCTCGCCAGACAGACAGAGAGAGACATAGAGACAGAAAGCGAGAAATCACCCGCCAGGGGGGATGGTCACGCCGCAATCCCTTCTCCTCCATTCTCCTCTCGGGATCTTGGGCACGCACGCACACGCGCCCGGCGTGAGTTTTAAGCCACCGGGTCCGGGACACGAACCGCGGTCGACTACGTGGGAGTCCAGCGACATAGCCATTATGCTAACTGCTGGTTCCCATTCTGAAAGAATTTTGTATAAAATCGATAATAGTTTTTACTCAAATATTTGGAAGAACACTCTGGGACTGGAGGGTTTTTTTGTGGGAAGTATTTTAAAATGGATTTCCTTTCTTTAATAGATATAAGTTGAGCATCCCTTATCCAGAATCCACAACTTTTTGAGTACCAATGCAATGCCAACAATAGAAAAATTTCACCTGATCTCATGTGACAGGTCAGTCAAACCACAGCAATTCAACAATACTGTATGTATAAAGTTATCTTCATGGGACTAGCAGGTGGCATGGTGGTTAAGGTGCTGGACACTACCACATGGCCAACCATGGTTTGAGTCCCAGACCTGGTGGCTTACTTTCTCTCTCTCTATGGTCAAGTTAAAATAAATAATGAATAAATAAAATTAAATAAATAACTTTTTTTAAAAAGTTACCTTCATAAAGTGTATATGAGACAAAAATGAGTTTCAAGTTTAGACTTGAGCCCTCCTCCATCTCTAAGATATTTCATTATGTACATGCAAATATTCCATCCAAAATTCAAAAAAAATACAAACACTCTGATCCCAAGCATTTCAAATGGGGGATAGTCAACCTGTATATGTCTATAAGGCTTGCTATTTCTTTTTCATTTTACCTAAATTTTTAAAATTCATTGGCATAATAACATTAATCATAACAACAGCTTCCCCCTTAAAATATTTTTAAGGATTTTTGGTTACTTATAATTTGTGTCTTCTTTTTTGCCTGATCATTCTTATTTAATCATTTTATTAGTAATATTAGTCTTTTTAAAGAACTTTATTTTCTTTACTGTACATTTATTTCGTATTCTGCTAACTTATGTTCTTTGTATTTTCTACTACTTTTGAGTTTGATCTGCTGTTTTAAAAACTTTCTAATTTCCTGAGGACAAACTTTTCTGACATACCTATGTAAGGTTACACATTTCCCTCTTAGCTTGTTTTTATCTCATTGTTTTTGTCACAGTTACAATTTCATTTTGTTCACAATTCTGTTCAATTTCTTTTAAAATCTGCATGACGACTTCAACTTTGACTCAGGGGTTATTAGGAATATATTGTTTAATTTCTAATCATCTAGGAATTTTTAGTTATCTTCTGAAATTTGTTGAGACCAGCATACAGTTAATTTTGGTAAATATTCTATATGTGTTTAAAGAGTATATCTTTCATAACTGTTGGATGCATTGCTATATGTCAATTATATCAAGTTGGTTAACTGACTACTTGTTTATCTATTACTTTAGAAATATGTTAGGGACCAGCAGGTGGCATAATGGTTAAGGCGCTGGACACTGCCACATGGCTGACCACGGTTCAAGTCCTGGACCTGGTGGTTTGCTTTCTTTCTCTCTCTTTCTCTCTCTGTGTGTGTCTATCACTCTCTGGTTAAATTAAAATAAATGAATGAATAAATAAAAAAAATGAAATAGAAATATGTTAAAATCTTCCTCTAAAATGATTAAATTCATTCACTTCTGTTTTCTAGACATGTCAACTTTTGCCTTACGTATTTTTAAAGTATCTTACTAGGTGCACACAAATTTGAATTTGCAACCACAACTGGATCTCAAAAGTCTCCAAATATGGCCAATTTCTGTAGTATAAAAGTCGCTCAGTGCTCTGTTTATCTTAGGGTTCCTGTTTTCATTTAGATTTGGACTACCTTTTGGACTGTTAAGAAGGTTTTAAAAATACTTTATTTTCTCTCTCTCTCTGTTTGAGAGTTTTTTGCTATAGGGCGATGCATTCGCCAGAAAGACAGAGACAGACAGACAGAAAGTGAGAAATCAACCCCCAGGGGGGATGGCCATGCCGCAATCCCTTCTCCTCCATTTTCCTCTCAGGATCTTGGGCATGCATGCACCTGTGCCCTGTATGAGTTTAAGACACTGGGTCCGGAACTCAAACTGCGGTCGACTACGTGGGAGTCCAGCGATACAGCCATTACACCAACCGCTGGTCCCGAGAGAGAGGTAGAAAGCAAGCTGCCAGGTCCAGGACTTGAACCGTGGTTGGCCACGTGGGAATTCTAGCACCTGCTGGTCCCATCTCTCTCTCTTTTTTATTTGGCTATATGGTGTGTGTGCTTGATGAAGACAGAAAGAGAGAGCGAGCGAGAGAAAGAGAGCACACTCCCCCTGGGGGGGAGTAGCCAAGTCACAATCCCTTCTCCTCTATTTCCTCTTGGGATTTTAGGCATGTATGCATACACATACACCTGGCAAGTTTCTCAAGCTGCTTGGGTTCAGGACTCAAACTGCTCAGCTGTCCACATGAGATCCAGTCACCTTAATCTCCCAGGCTACTAACTGGCCCTAAAAAACATTTTATCCAGGAACTCTATTGATTTCAGTAAAAGATTAGGATTTAAATTTTTGCGTTAAGCCTTTTTACCTCCTAATTTCCACTTATCACCCATCCAGCAAAGCCCATTGCTACAAAAATTTGTAAGTCACCCTCAATAGTTATTTTACCTTTGTTAAAAATTAACCTCTAAGTCCCTTGAGTAGGATTTTCCAACTCTGAGGCTGATGAAACGCTTGAGAAAAAAACTGAAAAATTTAAGCTTTTCAAGCATAAGTTATAATAAATTCTAACCTGAAGACACTAGGTGTCTTTTAGGTAAAAAGAATCTTTGGTAAACAGTTCAGTAGTTTCTTACCGGAAAACCTCAAGTGGGGCAAAGACAGTAGCAATGATGTCCCCAGAATGAGGCACCAAACTCGTAGAGGTAATTGAGATTTGGATAGTCCAAGCAAAGCGCAGTATCACATCCTCGATGATGGCACAGTAGTAGTAGGCCTGAGGAAGAGAAACAGATTGTGTTTCCCATCACATTTGTCAGAAATAAGCACACCCACTGACGACACAACTTAACCCTGACAGGTTTGAGAGGAAAGAGAGTTTCGTTTCATTTTGCAGACAAATGCATATTGCATTGTAGGAAGATTTCCACTGATTTAGTTTTTTCTTAAATGGTACAATATTAAAAATAAATATTGCTGATTTTTTTTAGCCATTAACAAATACGTTTATTAGGTGTGGGAAAGTCCTGACATATTTTTCTATGTTTTTCCACGCGAAAATGCACCATGACTTTCCTGACAACCCAGTAATTCCCATAATGTATATGAGACTCTCTCCTAGGCCCCAGAAATACAAGACAGGTGAGATTTCTAATCAATTAGAATTCTGCTCCAAAAGGTACATGTTACACTAACAACAAAATAGCTAATATTAGAAAAGATTAGCAGGATTACTGATTGTGCTATTTGCACTTTTATTCTAAAATTACCTTACCCTGCATTGAAGGAAGTTTTCTCTTCCTTTCTGATGTCAATAAATAAAATCAAGCTTGAATTTGCACAAATATGATTAATTTTTTAAAGATGTTCTGTATTAACAAGGGGGAGACAGTGCTCAGGGAAGACAACATTCAGCTAATACTTCCAGGTACTAGTACCAAGGATTTAGAAGTCCAGTTTTAGATACACAAAATCTTAAGTACACAACTGCCAAAAGACCAGAAATGTAATTCATGGATTTGCTCATTATTAATCTCTAGGAAATGAGCTCTGTAAATAAACATATTTAAAGGCCATGAAATCTTTTGGGGACTTATTATATAGAGCTGCTATATATTAAACCGTAAGATTTACTTTATTAAAAAAAGTACTTAGAGTAAATACTAGTCACTGTTAGAAGACATTTTGTTAAACAAAAATAAGCAGACCCCCTGGCCACTGTCTCTTTCCATTCCTAGAGACAAACATTTTAAAATTTGTAACTACATAATCTTTTTTTTTTTTTTTTGAGAGGTTTTCGCTATAGGGCGCGTGCACTTGCCAGACAGACAGAGAGAGACAGAGCGATAGAAAGCGAGAAATTACCCCCCAGGGGGGATGGCCACAATCCCTTCTCCTCCATTCTCCTCCCGGGATCTTGGGCACGCACGCACACACGCCCGGCTTGAGTTTTAAGCCACCGGGTCTGGAACATGAACTGCGGTCGACTACGTGGGAGTCCAGCGACATAGCCATTACGCTAACTGCTGGTCCAGCACTACATAATTCTTTTTACCCTCCATACTTAAAAATAAAGTATGCATATCATTTATCTTGATTAGTCAATTTTATACATTATCCAATGATGGCTGATTATGATAGACTCTATGAAGATTATTAAGAGGACTTTAACACATTCATATTGCTTTGTCCTATCCTCCATCCTCTCAATATAGTAATAATGAACTTTTGGATAAACCCACATTCAGGGTACTCATTGCTAGGCCTCAGTGAAGAACTGTGGTTTCATGAGCTTTTGAAAGTCAGTCTTAAGGTATCAGTTAAGCTACAGCCAACTGACAAGGGAGCTTACATCACCAAACATGTGACACCCTTTTGGAAGGAATACACTTAAGTAAAGATCAAGGAAAGTTAAGTTTGAATACAGAGATAATAAAAATGGTTTCAAACTTGGGGTGTGATATTCGATAATATGCACTGTAAATCCCAAATACATGATTCTAAGGTTCATATAGTTACGGTCTTGACTTCTTTTCTCTTTTATAGACAGGGTCTCATTGTTGGGCTCCCTCTGTCTCGGCTCCAACCTGGGACTACAGCACTGCGCCTGCCTTCTGGTTGGCCAGGGTCTTCCCCATGTGTTGCCTCAGCAGGCGGAGCACAGCGTCTTAGCAGTGTAGCACTGCAGCTAGGCTGTGCTCTTAATTTTTAAGGACACGCCAATGGACTTTACATTTCTTCACTTTTTAAGTCAAATGAATTTTATTTCAATATCTGCCATTTTTAAATTGAGAGAACTGTGGTTATCCAGGAAGACACTTTCCCTATAAAGTTGCAAATTATAATGCAGGAAAGCATAAACTTTACTTTCTAGAGCCACAAAAATACGTAATAAAGAAACTTACTGGGGGCTAGCCCTATAGTACAGTGAGTTAAGCCTGTGCATAAGGAGCTGGATCCCAAGTGGCTGACTGCAGTTGGAATCCCAACCCCAGCAGCTTGCAAAACGCAAGAAGTGCATGTGTGTGATGCACGAATCCTGACCAAATGGAGAAATGCAAGAAAAAGGAGTGCGGTGTGACCATGCCCCATTTGGGGAAATGCGGGGGGCGGCAGGGCTGGCAGTGGAGATCTATCTTTCTCTTCCTGGTGAGCACATACACCCTATGGCAATTTAAAAAAAATCCAAAAAAGAAACTGACTGAAAGATTCTATTTACTAATTTTATTATGGAAACTGAAAAGTTTGAACTATTTGGAAGGGGAAATAAAAGGTGGTATGGTGATTAAGGGGCGCTGGATACTCCCACATGGCTGACCACAGTTCAAGTCCCAGTCCTGGTGGCTTGCTTTCTCACTTTCCCTCTCTCTGTCTCTCTCTACTTGAATGAAAATAAAGGTACAAACAGTTCATCTAAGCACTCTAATAACAAACAAGTATATTATGGCACTTAGTAAGGCAAGAATAATATAAGCCACAATGGTACACAGACATTTGGTGAGCACAAGGGTCTTTACTGAGCTCATGATTTACCCTGATTACTGATTTTCTTTTTACATTAGATTTATAAAAATTGATCATATATTCTAAGTGTTTACTTTGGGATTATCGTGAGAGTAGGTTAAAAACAAAAGGTCACTTTCAATGAATGTCCCTTTACCCCTTCATTTGCTCACCTGAAGTTACCCCACCTATTGTGTTTTTATTCACTCTCCTATCATTTATCTTCCATCTTCACACAGCCTTTCCTAGTTATTAATAGAGTATTATACATTTGCACACTTTCAAAATACAATTTTGAGGTACTGATTACATTTTGATATGGTATAAAATATCAGCAACTCAATCTATACTTCTTTCTCCATCACAGAATTTTGAAACTGGGAAAAGAGCAAGAGATGACCTAGTGTAACACTCTTGCCTAATGGAAGGGAATCCACTGTAGTCTGGCTGCCTACATTTACATAACTAGTTAGAGCTGGGATTAGAATCCCCGCATTAGGATCGCTGGTTCTTTGTTTAATGTCTTTGGAGGTCTAATGATGGTATTTATCCTTCACAGAAATATTAGGTCGTCTTTTTTTCAATGTAAATAAAACGTCATGACTATCCCAAGGACCCAATACTTTGGTAATATATTTTTTATTTTTTTTTAGAGAGATTTTTGCTATTGGATATGTGCACTTGCAAGAGAGACAGAGACTGAAACAGAGACACAGAAAGCGAGAAATCACCCCTCAGGGGAATGACCACGCTACAATTCCTTCTCTGTCTCTTCTTGGGATCTTGGGTATGCATGCATATGCACCCAATTGTGATTTCTTCTTTTTAAGAGGCAATTTTGCTATCGGGCACATGCACTTGCTGGAGAGACAGAGAGAAAGAGAAAGAAAGACAAAAGCGAAAAGCCATCCCCCAGGGGTAGGGGGATAACGACACCACAATCTCTTCTCCTCCATTCTCCTCTCGGGGTGTTTGGACATGCACGCACATGTACCTGGCATGAGCTATTGACATTTTGATTATAACAAATACTGGTTGAAATTAATGAATGAAGTCTTTGTGATACACCCAAGTAGAGTCACTCTCTTTCCTTGGTGCTTTTATAGTATTGCTTATTTAGTCCATCATTCATTCATTCATTCATTTCATAAACATTAAGTCTAATATATACCAGGAACTGTGCTGGGCAGTATGAGCACCTAAACATGTAATTATAAAATATGTGATAATTGTTAAGACCAAAGTTTATATAGGGTTAAGAAGGATTAGGACAAATGGCTAAATATGTTAGGAAATATTTTTAAAGGCTCCTTTGAGAAAGTAATACTTAAACTGTCTTTTAAAACAGAACAAAAGGGGGGGAACCAGCAGTCAGTGTAATGGCTATGTTGCTGGACTCCCACGTAGTCGACCGCGGTTCGCGTCCCGGACCCAGTGGCTTAAAACTCACACCGGGTACGTGTGTGTGCGTACCCAAGATCCCAAGAGGAGAATGGAGGAGAAGGGACTGTGGCATGACCATCCTCCCTGGGAGGGTGATTTCTCGCTTTCTGTCTCTATGTCTCTCTCTGTCTGTCTGGAGAGCACACGTGGCTTATAGCGAAAACCTCTCAAAAAAAAAAAAAAAAAAAAAAAGAACAAAAGGGGATCAACAGGTGGCGTAGTGTTAAAGCACTGGACTACCACATGGCTAAACATGGATTGAACCTCAGACTTGGTGGCTTGAAAATCACGCTGGGTGTGTGTGCATGCCCACAATCTCGAGAGAAGAATGGAGTAGAAGGGATTCTAGTGTGGCCATTTCCCCTGGGGGGGGTGACTTCTCACTTTCCCTCTCTGTCTTTCTCTGGCGAGCACCTACAAAGCAAAGGGGAGAGAACCTGTTTCAATGGAAATGAATTCCATGTTCAAAAACAAATCACAAACCATAGAGAGTTATTTCTTTCTTATCCTATTCTAGTCTTTGTCACATCATAATGCGATCTACTTGCTAGTTTAGAATATAGTTTATAGCCTCCTTAAGAACCAGAATTTTGCTCTGTTTTTATTTATTTAGTGCCTAGCATCCAGTAAAAATCCTTTTTGTTTTCTTTTGCTGAATGAAAAAGTATCAGGTCTGTATTGGACAGGATTTAGCTAGTGGTAAAGTCTGCTTGTTTGTTTGTTTTTAAATAAATGTAAGCATCCTTGAACATACTTTTTGGGGGTATACAATTTCTTCCCGAAGGAAAGTGTTTTCTCCAGCATTCTTATCAAAGAGACCCCAGTCCATCTTCAGATCCCAGATGAGTGTATAGCAGGAACTGATGATACAAAAGACGATCCACAGGTAAAAGAACACAACGGTGTCTGAGTGATTTCGTTCTGAAGAAAGAAAAGGGTAAAAGAAAGAGAACATTATTAGATTTAAGTAAAATTCTTCGTAGATTCTTTATAGAGCTCCGTGAAAGCAATAAGTAAACAAATCTCTTTAGTAGGATCGTTGTCTAACAAAGATTAGTAATTTTGATTTCCCTGAGGCCCAAAGTTGTCATCCAACATTTCTTGAACATAATATTTGTACAAATGTACACTTGGAATTTCAAAGGCTTTCTGTTAAATACATAAACATCTAAATAATTGCAACAGAGGTTTTGGATGTTGCAAAAGATGTCATTTTAATTTCTTCCATCAGGTGGCAGCTTAGGGTAAAAGATTAAAAAAAAATTCTTAAAAGACTTAACAAAGAAAGTACAGCATTTGCTTCAAGAAATTCTTGGTTTGTTTTACTTTAGAAAATTTCCTTCACACACTTAGATCTTATCAATACTTACTGTGAAGACAATCAAATAACTCTAAGTCCACATAGAATGCCAGAAAGCAACAGAGATATTCAGAATTTACCCTTAAGGACATATACGAAAGCAAAATTTCTCTGTCATAAGGCAAAGCAGGACAATTTTGTTTCTTTTAGAAGATGTTTACTGATACAAAGGTCTAATGTGACTCTGTGCTAGGCACACTAGAAAGTAACTTTTGTTTTTATGCTGAGAACAGTATAAAGCACACTAAATCAGAATAATTTAATCTTTTTGTGTTCAAGTGCTTCACATATCCTGTGATGAAATTCCGCTTTGGTAAGTTCCTGAGTTACCATGTTTTATGTGCTCTGAAGGCGAACGATACAGGCATTTAACAGTTGATACAGTTAAGAATCATCAGGAAAGGGAACCAGCAGTTCGTGTAATGGCTATGTCACTGGACTCCCACGTAGTCAACCGTGGTTCGCGTCCAGGACCCGGTGGCTTAAAACTCATGCCGGGCGCATGTGCATGTGTGCCCAAGATCCCGAGAAGAGAATGGAGGAGAAGGGATTGTGGCATGACCATCCCCCCCTGGGGGGGATTTCTTGCTTTCTGTCTCTATGTCTCTCTCTGTCTGTCTGGCGAGCGCACACGCCCTATAGCGAAAACCTCTCAAAAAAAAAAAAAACAAACAAAAAACAAAAAAAACCCGAAAAAAAGAAACATCAGGAAAAAAATAACATCTCATTTTAAAAACATTTAAATTCTATGGGCTGGCAGGTGGCGTGGTGGTTAAGGTGCTGGATTCCCACATGGTTGACCATGGTTTAAGTCCTGAATCTGGCAGCTTTCTTTCTCACTCTCCCTCCCTCTCTCTGTCTCTCTTTGATCAAATTGAGAAGAATGATAATAAACAATTTAAAAAAACATTTAAATTCTAGTTAAATATGTAGAAAGCTAAGAATATATGCATCATTCATAATCTTTCTATTAAAATAAACAGGTGTTTGTTCATCACTTTAGGATTGTAAATGTGTGAAGTACAGTATAATACAAAGGCATCCTTCAGAAATTTATAATCTAGTGAATGAAACAGACATGTGTTATAAATGATAAATTTGGGTTCAAATTTGTACCCTTGAAGTATAAACAAAGTATGACAAGAGTATCTAAGAGAATGGGAATGTTTCCAAAAGTAGAAAAAGAACAAGTAGCATTTGAATGATTTCTAAAAGGATACATAAATAATATAGCAAAAGTTAGGCAGCTGAGATAAGATCACTCAGGGCTGATAATGAGGAGGATGAGTGGGAAAGCGTAAGGTGTGTCTGAGAAACTGTGAGAAATCTACAGCTAGTGAGACATGCGGAAGATGAAAGACTGGGTATGATCTAAAAAAAGGCTGGAAAGACATTTTAGATCTGACTGTGGTATGCCTACTTGGGCCTTAGGATCAGATCTGTATTTGAGAAAAATAACTAATTGGCAGGTTAATCACATCAGATTACTAAACTGGTTAACAAAAAACCCAAATACCACAGAGTTGCAGTGCTGTCAGTTCATATCAACTCAGGAGAACCAATTGAAAAACTGTCAGAAACCTTGGAAGATGGTCGTTTTAAACAATCACTATTATGAATTGTTTCATAAACTAACAATTAGGCTATATTAAAAACAAAGGTAATAAATACTCAACATTTACCAATTCCTAATTGTGTCACTGAATTTTGCTAGTAACTATTCCTTGAGACAGTATATATGTACTGTATCCGTATGATGGGAATACAATATGATGTGCTACTGTACACCTTTTCCCAACTCCACATTCAGCTATTATCTTAGTAGCCTGAAGTTGGTTACAGCGGAAATACTTTCCAGCCAGTAGGACAAGATGGTGCCCTTCTGCCCACTCTCGCCCCAGAGCTGGACTGTGAGACATGTACCACCAGATGTCCCTGTGTAGCTTCTCCTCTTGCAGAGTGGTAGGGAATGAAACTGGGATTTAAAAAATGGCCCACAAGTGATTCTAACGAACAGTACAGCCTGGACAGAAATACATTTTCACGTTTAAACTATTTCCACAAAAGTTTTTGTTCAAAAACAAATTGAGTTGAAGGTCAGCCACTATTAGGTTAAAGCCACATGGGAGGCGTATATTTCATTACTGGACACCCTAAAAGCTGGGCACATAGTTTCAGTTATTTGAGAGGCTACAGCAGGAGAAAGGCAACATAGCAAGATCCTATCTAAAAGAACAAACAAAAGCCCCCCCCAAACTAAAACATAAACATTAATAAGGGCTGGATAGTGGTATGGCATGACACTCTGTGAGGCTGACCCACATGGGAAGGTTCTGGTTTGACATCCAGAGACCTTCTAGAGTATGCCAGGTAGGCATATGCCCATGATCCAGGGCTGGCTGAAGCTGGGGGTGGATCACTGCATCAAAACCCTATTGGACGTGCTGTCTCTCTTGCTCATAAAGAAAATAAACAGATGAACTTTATAAAAAAAGGGTAAAGTTAAAATTTTACAAAACAAAAAAAAAATGAGTTGAATATAGCACTGTGTCATATGAATTAGCAAGTTAAGATCCTTAACAAACTATTATCTGGGTACAGTTGGATGTATTCCTACATGTGTATTTCATTCTATACACAGATGCACAGTTGAGTTTAATATCATTCACTAACACATGGTTGTTTTAAAAAGATGCTATAATACATCTATTAGGGCTTGCAAAGAATAAAGCAAACTAAGCAGCATAACAAAATTCACTCTCACATTTTCAAAATAAGATCAACACAGAGATACCAACAACTGTAAATTTTATTAGCAGCTTTTTAAAAAATTGAGTGTTTAGTGTGTGCTAGATACTTCACATATACCATCTCATTTAATTTTCTCAACAACAAGCTCTCACTTTGTTTGCTGGTAAAAATGAGTACATGAGGGGAACCAGCAGTTAGCGTAATGGCTATGTTGCTGGACTCCCACGTAGTCGACCGCGGTTCATGTCCCAGACCCGGTGGCTTAAACTCACGCCGGGCGCGTGTGCGTGCGTGCCCAAGATCCCTAGAGGAGAATGGAGGAGAAGGGATTGCGGTGAGACCATCCCCTCTGGGGGGTGATTTCTTGCTTTCTGTCTCTCTGTCTCTGTCTGTCTGGCGAGCGCACGCGCCCAAAAAAACCCCCCCAAAAAAAAAAAAAAAAAAAAAAAAAAGAGTACATGAGAATACAGTGAAATACATTAAATAGGAGTTTCTCAAGTGAATGCAGGTCATATCAAGCTTTTACTGAAAGCTGATTTTCTTCTTCACAAATTATCAAGAACTAATCAAATGTGAATTATATAAAAGGAGATTGGGGTAAAATTAAGTTGGGTAAAAGAGGAATTAATAATGAAACTAAAAGCAATATGCTAATTTCCTGATACTTGTCTTAGATTGGTAAGTGTAAATTTTGTCCTTAGATTATAATCCCTAAAAAGTATAATGGGTCAAATGTCTCCTTTTTTTCTAAACTCTATTTCTATGACAGTTCAAAAAAAAATACATAAGGACTGCCTTTTTATAAAAATTCCTTATTTATTATTAGTATTATTTTTTAACTTGGTATAGTCATCAGAGAGAGACAGAGAGAGAGAAAAGGAAAGTGAGAAAGCAAGCTGCTAGGTCTGAGCCTCAAACCGAGGTCAGCCATATGGGAGTCCAGGACCTCACCCACTACACCACTTGCTGGCTCAAGGACTTTTACTGACTTTTTTTTTTTTGAGAGGTTTTTGCTATAGGGTGCATGCGCTCGCCAGAAAGACAGAGAGAGAAAGAGAGACAGAAAGCGAGAAATCATCCCCCAGGAGGGATGGCCATGCTGCAATCCCTTCTCCTCCATTCTCCTCTCAGGATCTTGGGAATGCAGGCACACGCATCTGGTGTGAGTTTAAGCTACCGGGGCCGGGACTCGAACCGTGGTCGACTATATGGGAGTTTAGCAACATAGCCATTACACTAACTGCTTGGCCCCAGGATTTACTGACTTTTAAGGAAGCAATTTTAAAAAAAGTTTTACAAATTTTTATTTATATCTTCTATGAGTAAGAGAAATGGGTGTAATGGTTACCTCATTGGACTCCCATGCAGTTGACCACAGTTTGAGTCCCAGACCCAGTGGCTTAAAACTCATGGAGGGTGCATACGCGTGTGTGCCCAAAACCCCGAGAGGAGAAGGGATTGTGGCATGGCCATCCCTTTGTGGGGGGTGTGTGTGTGATTTCTTGCCTTCTGTTTCTCTGTCTCTGCAGCGAGTGCACACAACCTACAGCAAAAATCTCTCTAAAAACAAAAGAGAGAGAGAGAGAGAGAGAAATGGTCTGTCTCAACAGGGTCCTGACACCAGGATCCACCCTCAGCTCTAGGAAAGCATGGATATGGGCATGCCTGGCATATTCAGAGAGGTTATGAAACTGAGGTTATGAAACCGGCCTCTGTCAGTCTTGTACAACATCAAGTTTTACCAATGTACCACTGTCCAGCCACTAAATAAACAAAAATTCTTAGAGAATATTTCAGAGTAAATAATCTC